GAGGGATGGCTGAGCGCAGGGGGATGGAGGCGCGACAGCAGCAGGGAGGTGTAGGTGGGACCCAGTTTGGGCTGCAGGTGCGGCAGCGTCGCTGGGACGGGCCCCGCTGCCGCTTTGACGGTACCCGGGAGAGGTGGGAGCCGGTCTGGGCTGCGGATGCAACAGCGCGGTGTATATGCAGGCGGGATGGAGTCCGGATTGCGGGTGCCGGAGTGGAGCTCACAGGTGGGAGCCGGTCCGGACCGCAGCCGCAGACGCGCCGTGCGAGGGCTGCGGGTTCGGGCTGCCGCTGCTGGGTGCCGTTCGGTGGCGGGGACAGCCGCACGGTGCACGGGTGGGATGTGGTCCGGATTGCACGTGTAGGTGCAACGTGGTGCGGGTTGCAGGTGTGATGTGCAGGCGGGATGTGGTCCCGCTGTGCCTGGGGCTGGCAGAGCATCTCCCAGCTCGGAGGGGATGGATGGCGTGCCTGCGTCTGCGCTGGGCCACTTTTCAGGCTTTTATTTTGACGGATCCTGTCCTGTTATCCACTGGTTTTCTGACAAGGTCTCCCAAGTCCTGCCCGGTTTTCCCACATAGTTCTCTCCAGCCTCATCCTCCCTTTTGCTCAATAACTCTGCAGTGATTAAATGGCTTCTTGCAACATCGGTATACAGAGCTGAATTCCAGAGCTCGTGGGCGGGGAAGGAGTGCTCAGACATACTGATTTTAGAAGAAATACCCCGAAACTGTGCTCGTGGTTGTTCCTCCCTGTACCAGATCAGCACTGTGAACTGTACGTCCTTTCTTTGGATTCTTAAGACTGAAGAATTTCTCCGGGTAAACACAGTGCAAAGCACCTCAGGCTCCCTGGTATACTGCAAGGAAACTTCTGGCTTGAGTTAGTTGAAAAGGAAAGTTGGAGTCAGCAGAGTTACAATAAGGTTACCATCGTCCTAGTGAACTTGCTCAGAATTTGGGCTGTCTGGCCACTAATCTCATTTCTCTTCCATCCACTTAAGCTTATTTTTCCACTAAACAGAGGCTGCCAAAACCAGAGGGCAGGGGGGAGGGGATCGCAGGAATCTGTGAGGATATGAGATTTTTTTTTTTGTCCTGTTATAAGTTAATAATCCTATTCTAGGCTGTCATCCAAAAATATTGCTGAAAAAATGCAAGCAGTGTACAAGACCCATTGTATAAAAGATAATCTAAACATAGGACAGGAAGAGACCTGGCAGGTCAGCAAATCTAAACACAGAATGATATTATGCCTTATTGCACATGACTGTAATTCATTTGTTGCCAGCCTTCTAGGAAGGGGAAATTTCACACCTTAATTGAACTGATATTACAATACTTTCTCCAATATGTGGCTTTTTCATACTTTGTATTTGCATTATGACTGCTTCGTTCTCCCTGTCTGGTGCTTTTCTCTTATCAGTGTAGAAATAGGAGTTGCATGCTTTTCTCTTTACTGTGCAATGCCAAACAAGCTACGACTCGCTGTCTGCTTTCATGAAGCAGGCTCCAGCTTCTGCTGATCCCTGGCACTTGTGAGCTGGGCTTCTTAATCTCCGAGTTCCCTGTGGATGAGCAGAGCTGCAGGGCTCAGAGGTCTGTCCTGTGCCTCTCATGTTTTGACACCTTGCCTAGAAATAAATCCCTCACCAGGTAGGTGCTGCAATTAACCTCCTCCTCAGGTTCCTCCTGTCCTGTGATCGGGGCTGGGAAGCTGGGATTTTCCTCTCCAGGTGTCCATCTGACTTCTGTTTTCTGCTGTCAGCTCTCATCATATTCCAGTCATTCCATTAATCCCATTTTTATTGCATATCCCCATGTTCTGTGCTGGTTCAGTATTCCCTCAGCTTTCTCCCACTTGCTCTGTCATGAAGGGAGAAGTTAAGTAGGATGGAGTCTCCCTCACTTGCAGTAGTGACCTCTGCTAGACTCAGACTGACCCCTTCCATTTCATTGTCTGTCTGATCCTTCTAGGTCTGTACCCTGCTTATTACAAATTTTTGTCTTTCATTTGCAAACTTCTGATTTCACTGGACTGCATAGCAAATGGCTTCAAATGTGTTGTAAGCTGAACTTTATCCCTTATCCTTGTCTTGTGTGCCAGGTATGCTGGATAGTTTTCCCAGAGCAGCTGAGCAGAAAATTTTTGTTAGCAAAGCAAGCTAAGTTGCATTTTGTCCTTCTTTCCACCCAATTTTCTTCCATGGCATCAATTATTAGATGTGGGGTTTTTCTGCAGTGATTATTCTGTTGATGAGGGTGTTTAATCCCACGATTGTACTGTAACCAGCTGTGAGCAGAGTAATTCAGCAGCGGGGAGCAACACCGTGCTGCAGACTGGGCAGTGAACAACATTCATCGAGCTGAAACAGCTGAAGGAACTTCAGACAAACTCAGTGCTCATATCTGAGCTCAGATTGAGCTCCCACTTGAATATCCTTGCTCTGAATATTTGCAGTAAGGTCTATCAATAATGATTCAGAGAAAATACCACTGAACCAACAAAGTCAGGTCATGGGGTTACACGGTGACACTGAACAAATCCAGCTCTGCTCAGTCCAAAATGTACTGCAGTTGGTAGGTGCAGATAAACATAAGGGGTTATCCCAGCTCTGTTCATTAACATTGTACATTATTTTTTATATAACTAGGTGAAAAATACCAAAATATTTTGCAGAAGGTAGACTACAGCATGATACCCCTCATGTTCAGTGCATAACATCTGCTTCTGAACTAATATATTATAATCCCTTTGGCATTATCCAAATGCCAACTCAAGCTCAAGTTTATTCCAGTGTTTCTCAGCATTGCCTGTGCAGCAGTTTATCATACAGTGTTCATGAACTTGGTCTTGCAGAGGCTGCCTTCATCTCCCAATGGCCAGAAAAAGCACTGAGAGCACCAAGCACTGCAACAGAGTGGGCAAACAATCTGTATTTTAATTTTACTGAGATTTCTCCAGTCCTGTGCTGGCAACCAAAATGCTAAGAACAAATTCAGGGCAGGAAACAAGTCACATCAAATTTTGAGTTTTGACTGTCTCCTTCTAGTAAAGGGCAGCTTCATGCTCACAGGTCTGGTGTAGGACTGTCACACCATTCCAGTGGCTCCAGTTCTGCAGGCATGCTTTAAGACTGGAGTGAAGCACAAATTGGAAATGCTTAAAGAAAGCATTCGGGTGACTTTTCAGTGCCTCTCAGATTCCTTGTCAAGGGCAAGTATCCTCTGGCTCCTTTTTCCTAGGAAAAAAATAATAATGAGCAACAGCCAAGCTTTATGATTGCTACCAGAAAATGTCAGTGGTAGATGAGCTGATTTTATGAAACTGAATACGGAAGAAAATTGGGTGTGGGGTTCAAGCGTGAGGCCCTGAGTCATTGTCTGGCATCTACAGGAGTGCCCAAAATTAAAAGTTAGTGATTGTGTAATGTGGCAAATGAACGTTTGTTGCTGCTTTGTCAGCCAGCCTTTCACATCTGCAGAAAGCATCAGGAAAGCATCTAACAGCATGGTGGGTTTTCTGTTTGATGTAATGAACACGTATTGTTCATGGATTCAGCTGTTTCTACTATTTTAATACCTGAGCTGACATTTCAAAGTGCTGGGAATGCTGGAGCCACAGATCAATGAGAATCTTAAGCAAGCAGCAGTGTTTGCAAAAAGCTCTGTAGCATTTGATGGTGTATTTCAAGGTCTCTGAAAAACCATCTGAGTTGATAAAGGACAACAGACAAAGCCAGAAAGGACTGAGAGACAGTGGATGAAGTCCTCATTCCAGCATTGGAGTCACTCAGCTGATTCCAAAATGTTTAATGACCACAAAAGAAGCAGCTCTCTTCAGAAGGGACATTGCTCCAGTGCTTAGTCCAGTATCACAAGAGCAGACAAATGAAGAGCTGCCAAATGCTGTAGTTGGTAAAGCCTGATGTTGAACTTGGCATGGTTGTAGTAATTATCACCAGGTGATGCTACTTGGCATTGGCTTCCCACTTGTTATTTTTACCAGGACCATTATTCAGCTGAGGTGTGAACAGTATTAATTTTGTGGAATGTTGGAGGCCAGAGCAGGGATTTGCTCTTTGCACTGCTGTTCCATTAGGGTCTGTGAGCAGGTGTCCTCAGTCACTCCTTGGTGCTGAGAGTTTCAGCTGATGTTTGCATTGCTGCTCACAGAGTACCTACAGACTCTCTGATTTCACCCCAAACCCAACTTGCAAAGCCTTTGTTGCCTCTGCTGCTCCCAAGCTGATGGCTAGTGCTAACATAGGACATCACTGGTGGCAGCTGGCCACCTTGGAACTGTGTGGGTCTCCACTTTTCCAGATGGGAAAGCTGAGTCACATTTTAACAAGCAAGGACATCAGAGGAATTTGGAGATCACTCCAGGAAAGTGTGGGAAAGGAGGCATCCTGCAACCATAAAACCTCTATGTTTAGTTGTACTTTAAAATGGAAAATGTTGGTGATTTTGGCATTGCAGAGGTCAAATGAGCTCCGCTCCCGTTTGCTCTGCACAGGGAGCCATGGCCACCTGTCCCACCCCTTCCCTGTGTTCCCCAGAGGGAGGGACATTCCAGCCCCACTGCTGTCCCAGGAACTGCAAGGCAAGCTCTTCCCTTGTGGGAGGCACAGCTTCTCCCCAGCACACCCTGGGCAGCAGAGGGGATGCAGGGAAGGAAGCAGCAGCAGCAGAGCCCCTTTCCTCGCTCCAGATCAATGAATGAGGTTGGTATCATCTTGATTCATTTCTTTCTTTATTTATAATTTTGATGAGCAGCTCTGCTTTTGCCAATGCAGCAGGGGCATAACTGTTACACTCGCTCCGTGGGTTAAGTTGCATTATTTTAAATGAGGCAGCTATCTCCATGCTGCTTCTGTTCTGCTGGCTTCCCCTTTCTGGGAGCTGTCTGCTCTTTGCTTGTCCTGCTTTTCTGTTAAGTCATTGCTGAGCATGGGCTGGAGGCAGTGAGCTAAGCATTAGCTTTATTTTCTGACAGAGGCCCCAGTTGGAAACAGAAGTTCCCATAGTACAGGGCAGCAGCTTTTTGTGAGCAGGGCTTTTCTTCCCACAGCCTACCGAGAAGTCAAACTGTGGCAAATCAACTCATCCCATCGACTGGCCCAGATCAAGGTACTTCACCTAAATAAAAGGATGGCCCCTGCTGCCAAAGGATTTACTTCCAGGAGCGGGTGCAGCCCTCACGGGCTGGATGTGCCACCCAAGGACTGCAGGAGGAGAGGCAAAGCCACACAGCCCTCCCTGGACCGTTCCTTGTGCGCGTCTCTTCCATCAGCACTGCAGCGCTGAGCCCGTTCCCTCTGTCCCAGCAGGTCCCTTGGGGGCACAGGGTGGCACTGGGGGGTTCTGGGGTGCAGCTCTGGGGTTTTGCCCCCCTTGCAGCCCACAGCTGTACACCCTGGGTGTCTGCCTTCACTGCATCAGCTGTGTGACTAAGCCTCCCTCCTGCCCCAGAAACAGCCACAATCTCCTCTGTGTGTTTCTCGCTCAGAAAAGGCTGATTCATTCTCTGAAGCAGATTAATTACTTCTGCTATTTAGAAAAGAAAAAAAAAAGATAAATCCTTTAGAATTGGTCAGCTTAACTTTCAACTGCATGCACAATGCAGTGAAGCAAATCTTCTCTGAGCCAGAGCAGAAAAGTTCACACGGAGTAAGAAACTGTAAGAATGCAGTATTTACCTGTCATGTCAGCAGTGGGCTCTGCAATTTAGAAAGTATTTGTGAATGTGTCTTCTTCTTGACTTTTATGACAAATGGTGCAAATGTGAGCCTGCCATGAAGGTGAAGTGGGGAACAAATGTTTTTATTCCCTGATACATTTTATAACTTGCTTCCTTTCTGGTTTGTGTCATGCCGATGTGGCAGCAGGCTCCCTGAGTAGCTCTCATCTGAAAACTGGCTGAGCTGCTCCATTTCTCCCTTGGAAGGCTGCTTTCCAAGCCTGCCTGGCTGTGCTCACTTGTTTATGCACTGATGGGCTGTAGTTTCCCATTTCAGAACAAGCTGTCCAATATTCATGAGTTATTTTATATTTACCCAGCCCTGAAGCTTCTTTTATAAGCCTGGGGATAAATTTTGGGTTTTGTTGTTTCCATTACTGGAAATGGACTGAACCTCTGCAAACATTACCAAGCCTTAAATAAGGCCTCTATTTATCTAGAAAGGAAGGGAAAGAACTAACACAAAGCTAAATTGATTTACAAGCCTGTAATTCCCAAACCCCTGTTCTGATAACACTTGTAAGAAAGCAAGCCATATGTGAAGAGGTGAATCACTTATAAAATGATATCCTAATATTCATTGTATATTAACTTATCAGAAAAATATAGTGATTTTCCTCTTGAAGATTAATGACAGCCACATGTTCAGCTGGCATAAAGCACTGCAACTCGTTGGACTATGCAAACCTGAGGATATGATTGAACAACTGATTTCTTTGCAAAGAACATAACAGTATCTAAAGTGATAAGGAAAAACTGAAAAAGGTCAAAATGATAATCATTAGATATCCTGCTTGTATAGGAAGGTCACTTTGACCAAGCATGAGACCTTTCCCATGATCCCCAGTTGGTTGGGCCATACTAAAATCTTTTCACATTAACACAAAGGCTGGGTTGGAACTGGAAAGTTAGTATCTAGGGGGACAATTTTAGGTCTTCTCAAAACAGCTGGAATGAGTACTGTAGCAAAATGAAAGGTTAAACTCATTAATGTTTTAGGATTACTGTGTTATAAAATAGGCTCTTCAAACTTTTTTACCCAGCAGCAGGGAAAATACTCTGAAGGCATCCTTGGAGTGGATTAATGTTGAAATCATGCTAAGCCAGCCTTCTTCAAGCATTTGTTTTAAACAGCTCAAATGCTTAACTTCTTGAATTAGTAGCTGAGCAGGTTCTCTCATTAGCCTTGGTAATGTTCACATTCACACAAGCGAGCAGGAAAGTACCTGGCGGTATCTGGGGCTGTTCTCCTTAATGTGTGCAATACCTGCTTCGCCCATGCCATTAGGAATCCTGGCTGTGGTCAGCCTTATCTGAACAAAAACACTCAGGATGTTTGCATTTGGGCTGTTCAGCACATGAGGTACCAGCCCCTGTGATTCAGCAGCAGCTGAATGGAAAAGCTGATCTCGGTAGAAGGGAATGGCATTTGCAACCTGTTTGGAGAACAGCTGGAAAAACACTTCTGCACCTTTCTGGTGTCTTGGGAGCTCTGTTCAGAAGGGATGCCTGTAAATGTGGGACTGAGTAGCTCTTTAGCTTAGTGATGCCCTCAACCCTTTCTTCTGTGGACCTCCAGCATCAGACTGGTTTCTAGGGAAGAGCTACTGCCTGAAGATCTTCACCCTTGTGCAGGTGGGGAAGGTTTGTGCTTGCGCCGGAAGGATACAGCGAAACCCTGGGCAGGATCTGCCTGCCTCTCTCCCTCTGGGGCAGGGCTCAGAAGGTGCTTTTTTCTGTAATTACATCTTTTTGCTGCCGCAGCACCAGCATGTGTACCAGGGAGCAGAGTTCAGCTGCCGTGGCACCCTTCATCCTGGCAGTGCCTAAGCAGTTCCCCTGCAGCCTTAGCATGGGTGCACCATATGTATGCAGGATAAACAATAAATATTAGCCTTCTTACCTATGCTTAGCAGCACATAAATCCTTTAGAAAGCTGTACGTGGCCCTGTGCTCTGCTGGTGCAGTTTGGGATTTTGGCAGAGATTTTTGTCAACACCTTTCCAAATTAAGCTCCAAGTTCCTCACGGTTCATGGTTTAATCTCCTCAGGTGAGATGAATGTACTCATTTAATTTACCCATTTTGTGAGTAGTGTAATCTGTAGTCTCCCCAAAACACCCTCCCCATGTTTCTTTCTTGCAGAAGCTTCCTACCAAAAGAACTGCAGAGCAACCGTGAAGGATGTTTGAAGCAGATCAACCCCATTAGATACAAAGTTCCGGGAAATATGCTACTGGCAGTAGCAAAGTCCTTTATTTTTGTTATCTGAAGTATTCATCAGATAATGACTACTTCAGAAAGCTTTTTTTCCCTGCTTTTAGCATCCTCTGAAGTGAATGCATTCAGCCACAAAGCAATTGGAGAGCTGGTCTGTGACAAGAGAGCTGGAGGGATGTCAGTCTTCAAGGAGAGTAGAGAAATTCAGTAAGAGCCAGCAGCAGTCAGCTCTGCAGTTCCTGTCTTGCTCCTGTGGTTTCCTGAGGATGCTCAGATGTCTCTGCTCCCCACAAGGGAGCAAACTGGCTGCTATCACTGTGCTGTCCCCATACCTGGGAAGGTCATCATTAGTTCACTCCATTTACATCCCAGTAGCTCTTCTGGCATCTCCTGCTGCCCTCCGTGTATAAGGTCGTGTTGCAAAGGCCAGAAGCCTTGTGGGCAGGGGGAGGATTTGACTCTTCCCTTAAATTTTACTTTGCTCTCTCCCTAAATTTGTATGTCTTCTTCCATGCCTTGTTCTCCTTCAGTGTCATTTTAGCACTTTGTTTGACACTGGTCCTTCAGCTTACTTAACTCAGAGTCAGTTCTCAGATGAGCAGAGAAATTGAATTATCCAAGTTTATTTCCCTAATTATCCAAGTTAATTCCCTAATTTTTCCCCTGTAGACATGTAATTGTTATCACTGGCCCCATAGGTGTCAGAGTACCAGCAAAACCCATCACAGAGATGCAGAGGTGAATATTGCACCTCAGATTCTTGAATAACATCTGTGCTGATGTTTAGTAATTTAGAAGGGAGTCATATGAGGCATTTTAGGCAGGATCACCTAGAAAGAGCCATTGCAGCAGACCTCTGGCTGGCACAGGTCTCCCTGCCAGCCCGAAATTAGCTGGGTGTTCCTTTTCCAAAACCCTTGACATGACTTCCTTGAAAAGACACTGGCATGGGAATAAATTTGTCACGGAAACAGAGCAGTGAGAAGACACTGATTGCTGTAATTAGGAATAATCTAATTCCTAAAGGCAAATGGGTTGTATTTATGTCTGTTTAATTGGATTCCTGAATTTTGTGGACCAGCCATGTGGGCAGTCAAGCCACTGCACTGTGATTCAGAGGCAGCAGAGTGATACTCAAAAAGTAGAGGGTCTCTGCTATATTTTACCTAAGATGGAACTAAACTCTTAGTTTGTGATGTAATCTGTTTGATTTTGGTGTAGTTACTATTCAGAGGACCACCAAATCATCTGCTAGAAAATTGGGGTAAAATTGGGCTGATTTGCTGGGGGAAAACCATTTAGCCCTCTCTCTGAGAAACTTGGAAGTTCATGTCCATGTGGCCTGCAGAGGGACAGTGCAGCCTGAGAGCTGGTTTTCCTACTTTTCAGTCCAATTTCTCTGCTTCTGCTTTCTTGCTTTTGGTTTTTCTGGGGGTTTTTTTTGTGGTTTTTTTTCATGCCAGAAATTATGGAACCTTTGTAGAAGGAGAAACATCTCTGTAATTTTTCGGATCCAGGCTTCAGATGAAACCTGATGGGACCTGACTGATAACCTTTTACATTGCTTCCATGGTTTTCAAGGACAGGAATTTGCACCATCACAATCCTTTCTTTGCAGGATTTTTTTTCTCTTACATTTTATCTTTTCCCCTAAAACCTGCTGTGAGCCTGGTCCTGCTCCCAAGAAACAGATTAGTGACTAATCTTTTGAGGCCTTGGGGATTACACTTCAGGGGTGCATGAGATGTGAAGGGACATTCATTTGCTGCTGTAAAACCCATTCTGAATTAACAATAGTATTGGATTGTATGGGCACACCCCCAGAGTGTTTCCTATGGCAGGATGGGGAATTATGCAGAGTCATTTCCCTGGACATTACATTGTTATGGTGAAACTGTTTTAATTAGAAAGCACGTGGGCAGTTTGGTCTCTTAAAGGCCAACTGAATTTGGACCAAGGGGCAGACAGATCAGTGTATTTCTAATACTGGTGGAGTCGTGCTCATGTACACAAGGGTTGAGTTTCCCACCTAAGGCAGGAAGACTCTTGATGTGGGTTCCAACTTTTGATCTGGGAGGTTCAGTTCAGGGTAGAACCTCACAGAGTAAGAAATAAACATTTAAAGCCTAACTAACCCCTGGGCCAGGCAGGAGGCTTATGCTGAAATGGGC